GTCCACTGTAGGGCAATATATGAAAAAAAATCCTTATTCAAAAGGTTTTTGCCCAATGCAGACATAAGCTACTTTTCAACCTTAGGTCAATCAGGGTCACTCTGACTAATGTTGTTCAAATCTACTATAGTGTTGCACTGCTAGCCATTGTCATTATCATCCGAATGGAATCACCAATTTACATTTGTTAAAATGTTTTATATTTTTTTTGTTAACTGTTTGTAAAAAGAAAATCCTTTATTTAGGGAGTGTGTGTTTCAGTAGAAAAAAAACAAACCCTATTGTGTAGCTACTCTCACACTGACACTCACTCAAACTATGAGTGGTAGAAATAACCTGCTTAATTCATTGTAGTAAGTGCAAGTGTTTATAAAGTAAAACACAATAACATTACAGGAGCACATCCTATGAGCACCTACCGACATTTTGCAGCACAAACACCGATTTTTGCTGAATAAAGTGATGCCGCCACAACCACTATTAGTAGTATACAGCCTCAGAATAGTGGGATTAGCAGCTTGTCCATTATGTCAGATTCAACATCCAGCATGCAATTGTTTTTTGTTCCTATCCAACCTGTACTGCCAATTACAGTGACAGCTCCATCAACCACAGTTAGTTCAAGCATTATTTCTTCAAGGAGCTTCCCAACTATTAACTCAGCAGCAGAGTCTACTTAGTTGGAGTCATCAGAGACACTCGTTAGTGAAAACTAAAGAGCAGAGTACCACAGTAGTGTCCTCAATGTCTGGTGTTGGTGATCGCGGTGATGAATTTGGTGATGATAATTCTGTTTTCCCCACCACTGCAAACACAGCTCTTTTACCTTTGGCACAGGAGCTACTTAACTAGGAGAATGATGAGCGGAATTAGAAGAGGAGAGTGTGGAGAGGACCGGCAGCAGCCCAGTATTTTCTCTGGCAGCTAGTGTGCTGTCACATCCTGCACGTCTCCACCATGTCTAAGTTCACCTGTATCTGCTTAAAGATTACCTTATCCAATAGAGACAGTTGTGACATCAGCAGCACCTGCTACCATTGCCAAGTCGCTCACAACCTGTCAATGTTACGATTACCAGCACCACCACCACCATCACCATGTCACAACTGTCTCAACTGTATAAGGCAATTTTAATTTTCCTATCAAAATTTTCAATAACAAATGAGTGCTATGTACAAGCTAGTGTTACAACATCTTTTACATCCTTCAGTGCAAATCCACCTGTATCTTCTTCACTCACAAGGTAAAGTTTGGAAGCTAATGCATCACACTATAGTTCAAAGTTTGAGAACACGTTGAGTGCCTCCAATACTGCCAAAAGTGCAAATTGTAAATCAAGGAAATGAGTAAAGAGTGAGTGAAGGGTCATATGAAGTAACATCTGCAAAGGTACCAAACATTTGTTTTACTGATGGAAGAAGCAGAACAAGAATGTACTAGGGCAGGGAGAAGGTTCACTGTATCTGATTCTGTGTAGTTGTCACCACCTACATCCTCCACAACTACTACCAACTTCTTTAGGTAGAGCTAAGAGGACAGTCAGGATAGTACCACTAGTTGACAGAGGCAAGTTGGACAGGCACAAAATGATCCCTCATCATTTGGTGAATTAAAAAAGAAATATAATTCCTCTTGTCCAGCTGCTACTGCCAGTGACATCTACTTTAATGTGCTGACTGTTTTATTAATTTGTGATTTTATTTCTAGTAAGAGGTGAATTATATTTGCAGTGTACTTCTGTATTTCTTATCTCAGTTAAAAACAAAAGTGTCAAAAAAACTACAGTTGAGCGGTTCGGGTTCATACCGAACATTACGTTTTTTGGACCCCGGACCTGAACATGGACATATCACTGTATGTTCGGGTTGGAGTTCGGTGTTCGGCGATTTAATGATGCATTTTGAAAGGCTGCAGGGCAGCCAATCAACAAGCGTTTGACTCGTGTGCCCTTAGAAGCCATCACAGCCATGCCAACTAATGGCATGGCTGTGATTGGCCAGTGCAGCATGTGACCCAGCCTCTATATATGCTGGTTACTTAGTATTATTAAATTATGCCCCTACTCTCTATACCACGAGTAGGGGCATGTCTATTAAACAGTGAGCAGCCATAGACTTACCATTTGATGTCTTCTTTCTTCTAAACTCTTCTTTTTTCAGCCCCAAAAAAGGCCAAATAAAAATCCATAATAACCGACGCACTTTAAAAAAAAGAAAATGTGCGCAAAAAGAAAAAATTTAATTTCACCCATTTACCTGTCACAGCACTCTGATTGGTTGGCTTGAAATCCACCAATCAGAGTGCTCTGTGTCATTTTTACAGTGAGCAGCCACTGGATGCTCACTGTTTACTAGACACGCCCCTACTCGCGGTATAGCGAATAGGGGCTGAATTTACTAATACTAAGTAATTTTTAGTATTAGTAAATTTGGCTGAAAGACCAATTTAAGTCTTTCAGCCTTTTGGTAGATAGCTCCCTAATACTGTGTGAATTAGGGAGTTATCTACTAAGCGGCTGCTTATTTTATGTATTTTATGTTATTTTAAGTGATTTCCCTATCCACATTTGTTTGCAGGGCACTTGTCCTACTCTTACCCCCATTTTACTTCCTTATGCAGCCCTCTAGCCCTTTCCAGGGCTTTTTTAGAGCCATTTTTGTGCCCAAAAGTTCGGGTCCCTATTGACTTAAATGGGGTTCGGGTTTGGGGTTAAATTCGGGGTCAAGTTTGAGCCCGAACCCGGACTTTTTTTCGAAGTTCGGCCAAACCCGCCGGACCCGAACATCTAGGTGTCTGCCCAACTCTATAAATAACCTTAGGTAAGTATATTGCCACATACATTTGTTTGGCAATTTTGTTTTCCATAATGGCTATGAAACATACAAGACAAACATACCAACTTTTAAAATTGTTTCACATTAAAATTGTATTTTAGTCCTTGTATTTTGTGACCTGTAACTTAAAATGGAGTGCCCCTAAATTAAAATATAGCTTTTAATAGTATAGTTAAAAATAGTATATGCTATAAATTTTGAGAGAGAAAATAGAACAAAGTATATTGTTAACAATGACCCCTAAGGGTTAAAATCCTGTAGGGAAAAAAACAACTCACGCTAGATGTACCTATATAATCAAAAAGAAGTCCTGTTCAAAAGTTTTCAGGATCCTTCTCCTATTACTATGCAAAAACCAACGGTTTTTACAATGAAATAAAGTATACAGGGTGAGTTGTGTCCCAAAGATACAAAATAACTGAATATGACAATAATTAAGTCACAAAGAGTTATATAGAGGTAGCATAGGAATGCCTGTATCGAGAATAAATGTAACAAAAGACTTGCCAAAAACAAAAAGAGGATAAACCTTTCGTTACATTTAACAGTATATAGTATTCACTGTTCCTGTGCATCCAAACAAACTCAGAAGAAATAAATATATATAAATAGTGCTAACTGAAAGTCTATATCTTGCAATATTATATGTTTCTACCATTTACAGTGCTTGAAAAAGTATATATATCTGCACTAAGAAAGAAAAAAACTCCTACTACAACAAAAAGCAAGATAGGGGGAGAGAAAGGAATAATACCGAAATAAATAAATAAATAAGATGTCCGGTCCACATAAAAAAAAACCCCTAAATGTTGAGATCGGAGTGGGCTCAGGGATCCCTCAGATAATGCCAAAATAAATGATTAATACGTTCTGGTCTGGGCTCGAGCTAGTGTATTAGGGGTCATTGTTAACAATATACTTTGTTCTATTTTCTCTCTCAAAATTTATAGCATATACTATTTTTAACTATACTATTAAAAGCTATATTTTAATTTAGGGGCACTCCTTGTCTCCCTCTTCTTGTTTTCACTACTGTGGTAGTCTCTAAAGGGTTAACCCCTAATTGAGTGCATCCCCTTGCTTCCAGTTTCTTTTCTAATTATTCTGTAACTTAAAATAAACCAAAAAATCCTACACATATTATGTACTCTGTAAATAAAGACATAAATGAATTTATTTTGAATTTGTTTTCCTAAACTGGACATCATATTAGTATTGCCAAAACTGTGAAAACATTTTTTTTTTCCCCACATTATTTTGCATTATTTTATAATAAATGACAATTTATATATGCATATGTCACGTCAAATTAAAGCCCATTTTGTCCTCTAAAAAACAGTATATAATATGTTGGTACAATAAATGAGAGAGATGCACATTGTGGTTGAACACAAACAGCAAAAACCGCTTGTGTCCTTAAGGGTATGTCCATTTGCTGAAGCTGTGTCCTTAAGGGGTTAAGTTCTAAAATGTTTTCCTAGCTAGTGTGTCTCAGAGTGTACCTGTTGAGCTACACTAGTATTTTTAAATTAAATATCAGTAAATGTTCTCTATACTTTGTGATAGCAGACGTACCAGCAAATTGATTGAGTTTTCGTTAAATGTAAAGAATCACTTAAATTGTCAATAATGAAAACTTTGTGACAAAGTACAAGGACAAGGAGAGTGACAGGAGAGTTGTTGTCTGCTTTTCATCACAGAAACTACAGTTCACACAGTGCAGTTGCTTCAATATTCCACTGTCAAATTTGTTTTAAATCCAATGCGATCACTATGATTCACTATGGAAAAAATGTTTTCCATTTCATTTCTTTATTAACTTATATTATTCTGTATGTGTATTGCCTTCTAATTGAACTTTATAGGCAGACTGGGCAAACAACTTTTAATGATTATAGTTTAGCTTCTGTTTGGTAAATATAAATGGCTTATTATAAAAATATCTTGGACCTGTATTCATGTACATATGATAAGTTTATATTTTGTGCATAAACAAATCAAATTCATGGTATAATAAATTAAATATTTGGCACAGCTTTCCAGATCATATAATGTTTTGGGAAATTCAATATGAAAGTTTGTTATGAGTATATTACCAGTAGAGATGTCGCGAACCGTCCGCGAACTTCTCGCGAACGGTTCGCCACGAGCTGTTCGCGGCGAACTCCGGTCAGCTGACACATCCCGGCCAATCTCCAGCAGACCCTCCCTCCCAGACCCTACTACTTTCAACATGCATGCTGTCCAGGAAGTAGGAGGTTCTGGGAGGGTCTGTTGGAGATTGGCCGGGATGTGTCAGCTGACCGGAGTTCGCCGCGAACAGCTCGTGGCGAACCGTGGCGAACCGTTCGCGAGAAGTTCGCGGACGGTTCGCGACATCTCTAATTACCAGTGTAATGGTCTATTTGAGTGATAGAGAGTGGTAGAGTGAATTAAAGTTATAATAAGTGTTGTTCACAACAAAATAAATTGGCTTTACAGTCTTAAAATCTGAAAGCTGTGCAAAATTCAGCAGTTCCTAACAGCAATGCTTATCTGTCTATGTTTCCCTGTTTGTCAATAGGCCAAAGTCAGATATTTATACATTAGTGGATTTGGCTGGAGGTGTGGCCAATGGGCAAGACTCTTTAGTTTATTTTAGTTTACTTTGTGACCTACACATACCTATTTGTCTTTGGAATAAATTATTTGGAATATTAAAAAAAATCTAAATATTTGAAATTAACAGTAAGCCACATTTACTTTAACTTAAATTCATATTACTGTGATTTTACTAACTACAAATCTTTGTACAGTGTTCATAGAAAACAGAAATGCTAAGCTCCTAGAAAAGAAACACTAAGATAGAAACATTAAATTGAAACTCACTAAAAATCAGGTTTTTTGTCAAAATTTACAAACTTTCCGCTGCTTGCAATGAACAGATCAAGCAAAGGCAATTGAAACAACAAATGTTTCAAGTGGTTTCCCCACATTCATCTGAAAATACAATTTATAGCGACTTCTCCAATCTCAAAATTAAATAACCCCCTGAATAGAATTCCTCACAACATCACAAATATGCAAAACAGATGTCTCAAGCACAGCTGTTACAACTGATTACAACGGTGTGCTACTAAATATTTATTATCCAGGTAATAAACCTATTATTCAGTCCCTTGTCATTTAAACTTAAACTAAAAGTACACAGTATGTTTTGCATTGGTCATGTTGCTAAAAATCTCTGGCACATGTTAAGCAGTGAAACTGTTTTTGAATGGATTAACACTTACCTGGGTCTTCTAATGCCTCCTGCCTGGCCTCCTCTTCTGATACTGCTAATGCAGAAGTTCCTTCTTCTGCATTATTGGTATCAAATCCATACATGTTTGCTCAGAATTCAGTGGTTGAGAATTTCTGCTTTAGATATATTAGAGAAAAGGGGCCATATCTGAGGCACCTAGGGGAACCAGGTAAGTGTCAACCATTGCACTGTAGTGGTTATGGTACAAAAACTGGCCTTATAAGTAAAACACCTACCTGATCCCAAGGTGATATGATTCCTCCAAAACACATAAAAAGATATCCCATTGCAACCAGACATACATAGATGACCAGTGAAAAAACACGAAGAAGCTTCTTGAAGACAGACTCTATGCAGACCAGGACAAATATAGCAAAGAAAATTGCTATGGCTGTTGGAACTGTTATTAAAAATGCAACATGTTCTTCAATTGCCTGTATGGAGAAACAGAGAATGAAATAAATATTTTATATGTATTTAAAAAAAAAAAAAAAGGTAAAAAAATAAAATATTACTTTGAGATGTTATTCAAGATGACAGCTGTGATACCTGAGCAAAACTAAATGTATATTCAAAGTATGTGAATAATTTCCTATAAATGTTTAAGTGGACATATATAGTTGTTAATATTTCTAAATAAAAGATTTTATAATAGACCTTATTTGTTTATGCAATGCATGTGGCTAATTGATTATTATGTTTGCACATGTCTCGGATAAACAAATGGATTGATTATATTCCATTCACTATATCAGGCACCATTACTCACATCTGAAGTGCAAGATAAAGAGCTCTATCACAGGGCACAGAAAGACTCAGTCTGGATACAGAAAATGCATTATGCTACAATGAACAGAAAAACAGCTATTGCTGTTTAAAGCTTCATTGTATAAAAAAAAAAAAAAACATTAAAGATTAACGTTAAGACTTTTAAAAGTATGTTATAAGGATAATTTTAATATATTAACCAAGGCATTAACCCCTTCAATATCCAAATTGAGTATAAATATTGTTTATTTAAGTTTACTTTGTAGTATGAATTCTTGCCCATAAAGTCTCACTCAGCCTCATTTATTCTCTAGTTATGATTACTAGCCTGTTCAGGAACACATTTCTCTGACAGAAGCCACTGGTCATTAATTCAATGCCTAAAAAATGCAAGCTCGACCCCTGCTTACAAACAGGAAAGGACTTTTCATTGGGCCATATCATTCCTACAGTCATGGAGTGGGGAGGATTAAATGGCCTCTACTATTTCACTGTTAGCATTACAAGTGACATTTTAGGAGTTATCCTATTAACCATAATGATCTTTATTCCCCTAGGATCAGTTAGCCTCCCTTTTATTATAATATCAGTCTCTGCAGAAGATAAATTGACGTAAAGCTCCATTGACAGTACTATGTATCTGCTTCATTAGTTATCTGGCATATAATTTATATTGTTGATACTTCATGATTGGCAATTAAAAGACAAACTATTTTTTTATGAATTCATCATTGTATATATTGTTGTATTTTTCTAATCTATGCATGTATTTAGTAGTGGTAAAGTTATTAAATGTATAACTTATTTGCATTTCTGCTTCTCTAATTATTTCATGTACCTTGTACATTGTATACAGTATTTGTTTTTATATGGGGTATAATCTAGTCAACCTTTATGTAGGAAATACATATGCTCTTTTTATAATCACATGCATTTGTTGAGTAATTATCAATACGTGCGTTTATGTTAGGTTTCTATGAAACCTATTGCCCAAGTGATGCTCCCAATACGTAGTACTGGAGTTGGACTCTGGAAGACAATGTAAGCAGATGTTCATCATGGTGGCACACCGTCCGGTTTCAGTGGTGTGTCCCCAGTGAGGCTGGTTCAGTAAGTAAGCAAATCAATTGTGTATATATAAAGAACACAATTGTATGAGTGATTAGATTTCACAAAGACTACATTGTGCAGCTGAAATATTGTTTGTTTTGCAGCTTTGTAAGCTGATTTTAAATATACCCCCGATAAGAGAATGTCTTAATAAAAGCATTCATGTTTGTATTGGGGGTATATCTAGTATTATTATTGAATAAAATGTATAATATATAATTATTGAATTATTTTTATTATTATTATTATTATTATTATTATTATATCATTACTATTTTGGTGTGGAGTGTTTCTTTAAGCATGTTTGCAGACAGACAGACTGACAAAGTGTAAGTTTGTTGATAGGGGCGAGTGGGGTAAAACCCCAACAATTTTTGTTGCAATAAAAAATAAACACATAAAAAGTGGCACCAAACTATGAGCTCAATTTAATGTTGTTGGATAATCTCTCCAAACAATTTAAAATTTTATATTTTTGTAAAAGGTTTTGTACCAACGATCTTTCCAAATATTAAAATATCAAAACATTTCTATTTAAATATATATTGATTTTAAAAAAATCATATATTGAACATTTTAATATTTTTCATCATATTAAATAATTTAAAAAAAGTTTATCCAAAAATGTTAAATCATTTGGAAAGCTTATCCAACAATTTACAATTGTCCTAAGCACCCTATTTGTGGGTAGCATTGTCTGGAGTATTTGTGGGTAGTATTGTATGGAGTATTTGTATTTTGCTAGTATACTGTATATTGTTGGTGTTTTTGGAAAATTACTTTAGTGTTTACAGCTACACGTATTTTGTATAACTCTTACTTATCTTGAGCACCTAATGGCACACATGTTTTTAGTTCACAAGTGATTTAATGCCTAAATGGCAGAAAATTGAGCAATGAGACTTCAGAGGCATGGTCTATACCAGGGATAGGCAAGCTTTGTTATCAGCATGCCAGCATCTGAAAGGAGAAATGTCACTATGTTACTATACTCCCTAGCTGGTGTTAGGGAGCATAGGACCTCCTGTGGGAGTTTTTTTCTGCTCTCCCTTGTCAGTCAATGCCTCAACACGCTAAGGAATTCACTACAGCTGGGAGGTAAGTATATTTTTTGCATAGGTTTCTCTCCTAATCTTTTTCTTTTTATGTATTGTATACATGTTTACTTTAAATTCTTTATTTTTTCATGCTTAAGGTTACATATAGACTTGCAACGCCACGACAGCAGGAGCAAGCAATACATTAATATGCATTGTCATGGCAGAGAAAACAGCACATTTTTTGTTGTTAGAGAAAACTAGCTAGGCATACATAAATTCAACTATTATAAGGTGTTTCATGATTGTCTAACATTTGCTGTAAAAGTGAATTTCCCCTGATGTATACTAACATGTGGTAGAAAAGGAACAAAAACAATTAAATTTACAATTAGCCCACAGCTAGGGTTGGAAATAGTGGCTGCCTTTAAGTATCCCATGGCTCATCCTATGCTCCTCAAGAAATGCAAATAGACCTGATGATATAAAGTGCAAGAGTCTGATATAAAGAGGGCATCGTGTCGGCAGCCATCTTGGTTCGCAGCCTGCAGTTAGCCCGCTCCATGGGAACCATCGAGTGTGAGCAGAGTAAGTGTAGCTTCACCTCAGGGAGAACCAGGATAACCCCTACCAGTCCACAGGGGTGGGGTGAGAGCATGCTTGGTCTCCGTAGACAGCTCGAGATCGAGGAGAGCGGCTGCCTCTCCCCGTCTCAGCCTCCCATGGGCCACACTTGTGATCCATTGTGTGTCTGCCGATCACCACCTTTAAAGTTGCTATCGTAGTAGCCATGGCCAACTTGATGGTGCCTGGCTTATGTTTGCGCTTAAGGAAGCAGGTATTAATGGTAAAACCTGCTGAATTGGGGTCTCAGGCCAGGAGCTCGGGCTATGTGTGACCAGCTAGCTCTGTAGTCTGGCTCTGCTCCCCTTGTTAACACTTTTATACTGTGGAGAGCACATTTCTTCTGCAAAGTCTTCACTACCATTTCATTAAAGATAGGCCTTACCAGCAGAAGAAAGCAGATCTTGCAGAGATGCGTAGACACCAACTGACAATTCACAGTGTAGCTTATCTGGTTTCTCTCCTAATCTATACATTTGATAGCAAATCTTCTG